TGTGTGTGTGTGTGTGTGTGTGTGTGTGTGTGTGTGTGTGAGAGAGAGAGAGAGAGAGAGAGAGAGAGAGAGAGAGAGAGAGAGAGATGTGGAGGACGAAAGGGGCCCACTTTCTGAGACAAGTAATGCGTGGTTTGAAATGCTCTACCCCTTGGGGAGGGATCAGTAATGGGTAGAAGCAGACATTGTCTGACAGTGGTCACAGTTCATGATGATAGTCGTTCTTTTTTGTTTTTGCGTAGCCTTCCATTCGTTTCATATAAAGCGCCGATTTTTGAAATGAAAGTAACTGTGAAACCTGTGAGCAGTCCTTAGCTGCAGCAGTAAGGCCGGTCCTTTAGTTTACCGACTTGTTTCTCAGCTCTCGGTTCCTTTTGGGCGGGCTGGGCCGCATCCTGGGAAAACTCTACAGGATGAATGTGGACCAGTCCAAACGCACACCGGTGGTGAGTCTCCGCGACCCAGATTCTCCATTTCTCACCCGGCCGTCGATTATGAAGATCGATGGCCAGAAATGGAGGACCGAGCAAGTGGAACCTGGCCCAATGTTGCTGTTGGGCCCATGGTTGGGAGCTACCAGTAGGCGCTCAATTGGTTTTGCTTAGTGGATTTTATGACTTTGGCGCTCAATTGGTTTTGCTTAGTGGATTGTATGACTTTTCCGGATCCAATGGTCGGCATCTGTAAAACTTGTGTGTTTTTCCCCGACTAATCATGAAAGTATGCAAGCTGTCAGCGGCTATATCGGCCTCATCATGTAAGTACATAAGGTCCGGTGCACTCATGACGAAGGTGAGGTGTGATCTGGGAGAGAGAGAGTAGTTAGCTCGCGTCTTGCCAACTGGAGGACAGACGACCCGTGCTGTCCTCGGCGGCGTCCCTGGGGCTCCCTCCGCCCGTACCACACCCTCAGACTGGTTCCCTCAGTCCGCCCCCTCCTGCCTGCACTTCTTTCCCCGTCTACCCCTCTGTCCTCCCTTCCCGTTCGTCCTCTGCACCCCCTCCCCTGGTCTCCATCGCCCCTTCTGTGAAGAAAATCTCTCTGCCCCCTCCTTGAATTTCTGCTCAACATCACTATCATCTTCATCTCCATCACCATCGTCATCAATCAATGGTCATCATCACCATCGTCGTCATTGTCAGGATCTTCTTCTTCTTCTCCTTCCTCCTCCTCCTCCTTGGATAATCATAGGTCCCTTGTATCTTTTCTCCTTGTGCATCATCAATTTCATGTCAGTTTTGCCCTGCGAGGGGAGAAAAAAAAGTGTTTCTACTTCTGAACCAGTGTGTTGTTTCATTGAGTAAATGAAATGAAATGAATGAATGGAGGAACGAGCGAACGAACGTACCACGCCCTTTTTCTTTTGTCTGTCGTGGGGTCGTCAAGATGTTGTTTCGGTTGTTGCGGGGCTGTCAAGATGTCATCGTCTCCGATTAAGTTCGTCGCATCGGGTGCGACGGTGCGTTTGTTTTTCTCCAGGGGCGCTTTGCGGCCTCTGTTTTCCTTTCTGTGGTTCCAGGAGGCAGCGACTCTTTCTGTCATCCCAGTTCAAGTTTGTCGCATCGGGTGCGTTCGTTTTCTCCGAACGAACGATCGAACGAACTAAGGAACGGCGAATGAACGAACAAACGGACGAACGAACAAACGAACGAATGAGCGAACAAATGAAAGAATGAACGAAAAAAGCATGAATGAACGGATAAATGAGCGAATGAACGAACGAATGAATGAACGAAGGATGAATGAACGGATAAATGAACGAGTGCATGAATAAATGAATGAATGTTATGTGCTCGATTGCTTCGCCATCCAAAACCAAATTCAAATGTCCCCATACACATCTGCAATTACGGTAGGACTGAAGAGAGCAATCCACACCAAACCAGATGAGGAAAATACACAAGTATACAGCCCCGCTGGGAAACTGCAGTTTATTGCATTCTTACCCTCCTGCGAAATCAGGACCCACGAGCTACATAACCAACTACCAAGCCGAAATGGTGGAGACCACACCGGAGAGGTATTATAATGCTGCGGAATCACTCAACGTCTTTAGTTCTGGGCAATGCCATAAACTGCCGGTTTCCCAGAGGGGCTGTATACTAACTCGTGAGGTATTAGCTGCGCAATCACTCAACGTCATCTCGCACGACGTGTGAATACCATGTTGGATTTCGTTTCAATCAGGCACATAACATGAACGGGTGAATGAATGAGCGAATGAATGAATAAATGAATGAATGAATAAAATTCAATAAATGAATGAATATATGAATGAATATATGAATGAATATATGAATGAATATATGAATGAATGATACACAAGGATCAAACACTCAAAAGAATCAATTAACAAGCAAGCAAACAAAACAGCGAACAAGGGGATAATGGAGAAAAGGGCAAACAATCAGGCAAATGCACAAGCTAAGAAATGGAAACTCAAACCGACAATCCAACCAACGATCCCGATCAAACAAACAAATCCAATTTCCAATTAAACGGTCAATTAATCAAATGAACAATCGGTTAAGCGAACAACTGATTGAACGAATAATCGATGGACCAAATGCAGGATTTTGAGACGGACCGGTAGACAGATTTCAACGATGACGGATCTAGCAAACCAATGGTAATTTGCTGCTGTTTATCAGATAATGGAAGGCATTGAGGGGAGAAGCTCATGTGACGGAAGTCTCCATTGGTTCCAGAGTGTTAACATGAGCAGGGTTTGTCTGTGGCATGTGGATTTGTCTGCCGTTGACTCTGTTCGCCATGCAGATTGGAGGACGCCGATCATCGTCACTCCCATTGCTGTTGTCGTTGTGCTCATGTTGATACTGGGCCTTCTGCTATGGATAAAACCAGCTTTCTTCAACAAGATGTTGCAAAAATGTCAGACAGCTGGTGGGATGATCCCTTCACGCCATTTGCGCAATTTCACGTTGGATGAATTGAGTCGGGCAACGAATAACTTCACCACGAAGCTTGGGGAAGGAGGAACTGCAACTGTGTATAAGGCGACGCTGCCACATGGGGAGATCGTCTCCGTAAAAGCTCTAAAGGTGAGGCATTCGACTGACTGCTTACACTTCCAACAACCCCCGTTTCTGCGGAAGCTCCTAGATAGCAGTAATCTGTTTTGATCACTCAGTACTGAGAGGTTTACGCTCTCTACTTCTCCACATCATGTTATCTAGCTGGAGCTCCTATTAATAGAACATCATCTTCATGCTGCTCCTCTGCTTTCTGCATGATACGGAAGTGGGTTCGAACTTCAAAGTGTTTGTGTCTCATCATACTCTAGGAAAGTAATGTATCCTCAATCTCAAGACTCTTAGCGTTGTTACCTTGCACATAAATTCTCTCTCTCTCTCTCTCTCTCTCTCTCTCTCTCTCTCTCTCTCTCTCTCTCT